ATGTTTTAAATTTATCAGAGATAGCCTTGATAACATCGGAAAATAGGGCGTTTTCTATTAATGTTTCATCGTGTTCGATTTTATTCATATTTTTTTAAGTATATATTTTTGATTATTTCTTTATTTTGACCGCTGATATTTCTGTATGGAATTTGTCCAAAATTTCATTGAATTCTTTTAATTCTTCAACTGTTATGTTCTTGTCTTCTCTCGATCTTTCGAAAATGATGTACAATAGATTAAGATACATATTCAAGATATCCGTTTTCTTTTTATAATGAGCTTTCTTTTTGCTCGTGAAACCTAAAGTGATGAGACCGCAAGAGGTCGTTTGAACGGCAGTTAATGCAGCCAATACGGTTGGGACGATGACCGGAAGCATTAATCCACCAGTCACGGCCGTTGCCACCGTTACTCCTACCGTTAGAACTGTGCTCGCTGTTTTGAAAAAAGAATCGATTCTACTCCATGTTTTCCTGCATGTATTGCACTGTCTCAACTTTATTTTCAACTCTTCTTGTTTGTCTATCATGTATTGTTGTCTGCTTTCGAGTTCCATTTATTAAGTCGTTAAATTAAGTGAATTTCCGATAAATGGAACCACGGAATATCGTATAGAACGTGCTTGTTTGGCCTAGCATTATTATATTTGCGGGTATTAAAAGTAAAAACATTTACGCGTACTAACGACATTTCTTTTTTCGTATGGTCCTCTTATAGGAATATTTTATTTTTTCTTTTTCGATGTTTATCTTGGCTCTAAAAATATAACCACCACCTTCAAGGATGGAGTCTTCGGCAAACGATAAATGCACTATAAACTCTCTTTCTTGTTGACTTTTATGAACATCGATCGAGGTGTATTTTTCACCTAAAGCGAAATACAGTTTTACGTATTCAAAGTCTGTTGTTCGTAAAAACTCGTGACTGCTCGATTCTATTGATCCGTGTACGTGTTAGCGTCGTGGAACTTTGACAATGTTGGTTGATGGTGGATTTCCGTCTCCAATATCATATCCAAATCTTTGATTCCAATGTTATCCTTATCATTTTCTACTTCCATTTTAAAGGTGTCTACATATTTACCATTTTTCGTTTCAATTTCCTGATCCCTTTTATCAATCAAACGTATATTCTCTTCCAAATTACCATCATTGAATAATGAAATATGTTTGACGGCATTACCGGTTTGTTTGAAGACTACTTTATTGACTTTAACCTTCATGGGAAACTCTATTTGAATCAGACAATTACCTCGAAAAGTAAACGCTTCCGTTTCGCCGATATCGAATACGTTTTTAGGTTCTCCGTCTACGAGAGAACCCACTTTTATTTCTGCTTTGAATCCGTATTTGTTTGATTTATAAATTTGGTCTTTTCTATCGAAGACAGTGTCACTTTCGAATGGTAGATTGAAATAATACGATTTGTCCGTGACAATAGCTCCTAATTTGGTCAACTTTCTCTCTTGTCTCAAAAAATCGTCATGAATTCTAGATACTAAAAGATTGACCTGTTCTTTAATATAATTTTTCATATCATCTCGAAATTTATTTTGAAGAAAGTTTTTAATCACACCCACTTCTTTTTCTAATTCGTCCGTGATTTTAGTATCCAAAGCAGTCAATTGTCGTTTCAACGTATCTTTGTCTATGGGAAGTGTGTTAATTATATCTTGAACATCTGCTTTTTGCTCCGCGATCTTTTCGTTCAAATTGGATATCGAATTTTGTAACTCGGTTTTGTCCGCGGTCTTGTCTAGTTCTGCTAGCAATTCGCCAAGTTTTCTTTCCAAAGCGGTTAGTTTTCGTTTCAATCTATCCTCGTTTACATTTGGGTTGTCTATTTGGACGTCTATTTTTACCTTCGTAATCTTATCGTCTAATTTAGATATTAAATTTTGCAACTGACTTGTTTTATCCACTTGAATAAGACGTTTCAAACTCGTTAACTCTTGTTGTAGTTTGGGTTCGTCCACAAGATTTTTAATATTTCGTCTGATGTATCTTTTCACGTCATTTATTCTATTTTCAACATGGTCCTTATCTATTTGAATTGCGTTTATTTGATCCAGTAAATATTTCTTGTTCACGGCATCGTTATCGTTTCCTGGAAACTTTAAATTAGTTATTTTGAAATTGTTCATATCGATATCCCCTTGCAAGGTGTCTCCGATTTGATCCACGAAAAAAGGTTTCGCTTTGTTTATAAACGTAGTCATGGGATTTTTAGATTCTAGAGGTAAAGACCCTAATCCAAACTTGTTTGCCATTTTTATTGAGTTAAATTTATTATAATTTCTTCAAACTTTTCTCCCAAACTCAACCGATATAAAACCCAAAGCGACAGTTGTCCACACAGCTTTTGTCCTGGCATTTGAATTTGAAACATAGAACATTTGATTGGTTTGCTAGTCAATTTCGTTATCTCTTCTGTCGGTTCTAGACCGAAAGAATCAAAGAAATAAAAGTTATTCGAAGAATCTTTGTGTAGAGCAGAGTGATGAACTCCTTTTTGATCCGACGTATGAATGTTTGTGATGGCGTAAAATTTACCTTTCTTGTATTTCAGTTCATCAATTTCATGCAATAATAAAACGGCGAGACGTTCAACTCCTTGGCCCATTTTACAAGTTGAAAGTTTGTGGTCGTGTCTTTTCCGTATTTATCGAGAAACGCATTCATTTTTTAAGTTGATTTTTTTTAGGTGTTTTTCGAAGTAGGCGGTAAGTATTGCTGAAGACCCAATTGACGAAATATATACGTAGTTTGTGTTTGAAAAAACTTGTATAACATTCTGATAAAACACATTCAATAATATTTTGAAGATAAATTTACATTTAAATTTAAAAAATCTTAATTTAAGAGAGCGAAAATGCCAGTCGACATCTAAATTTCTTAACCTTTCATCTAAATCTTCATTTTCGAGATTCATTTTTAAAAGTCAGTTTTTTGAAGTTCATTTTGATAAAACCTTCCTATGATTTGTTCTTTGTCTTGATCGATCAATTCATACGTGGGACGTGATGTGCTGTTTACGTTATCAACGATGAATATCTCGTTAGTCAAATAGCCGACGTAACCTTTCTGAAACAATGATTTAATATTTAAAAATACGAACTCGATCTCCAACTTTGAATTTGGGTTTAATATTCAAATTGCTAATCTCGTTTTCAAAGTTGTTTCGAGTGTTGACGGACTTTATGATATTCGGGTTATTAGAGGCTTGCGTTGGCGTCACACCTATAGACGAATGTATTTTGTTATTGTATTCGTCGACAACAACTGGTAATATTTTAAGCCATTTTTGAGATTTCAATTCCGTGAATTTCTTGAATAATTTGCTTTTAAGAGTCCTGTTGAATCTTTCTATCACTACGGCCTTACCTTCGTTATGCGTGCTGTAAATTTCAAACCCCAGAGATTTCACATTTCTGTTGTAGAATTCGCTTCCTTTATCAACCCACAACTTTAGGGGTCGTCTGTCGGATTGTTTCATTATGGTTTCGAATGCTTGTTTGACAGTCAGACCCGATTTGTTTTTCAAGGGAAAGACCCAAGCGTATCTCGTGTATATGTCGATCACCGTCAAACAATACTTGTACCCTCTCTCGACTGGCATGTTGATTAAATCGGCTGACTAAATTTCATCTTTATCAAAAACTTTGACTTTGAGGTAATGTTTGTTTTTTCGAAATTCTTTGTGAATCTCGTCTGCTATGCCCATACCCAATTTCAATTTTGCCTTCAAGAGTTTTATGATAAGAGCTCTCTGTAATTTCTCTTTGAAAGTGGGATTGGGAATATTTTCGAGTTCGTCTATCATTTGTTTGTCTGCTTGGTGTCTGAATGTTATGTCTTTGTTTCTGTACAGTATGTCGTGTTTGAGCGCTACTGCGTCAACTCTATTAACGGGTTCTTCCCCTGGTTTGGGAATATCATTTTCGTCTAAACGCAGATCTAACCTAGTGCCTGGACCTGTATAATTGTGCCCTGGGAGATGTTTTTCTCCGGGATATTTTGCCCATGGGAATCCAGGAAGAGAACCCAATGACTTTTGAATGTCTCCCGCACCGAAATACGTTTTAGGAGGATGGACCTTTATTAAAGACATATTTGTTCAATAAACACCATATATTTTTAATACGAAAGATTTAATACAAGGAGGAAATTTGTTGCTTGAGACAAAATTGGCCACTTTGGGGATGAGAGATGTTAGCGCAGAGAAGAAACCGTCTCCTTCGAATTTTTTTTTTCGTGTTTTAAAATTAAAGACATTTTTAATGCGCTTAGTTTATACTGTATTATTTTTTAGTGATTCTTGTCTGTGGTTTGGGGTAATTTATAATACAGTTTGGGGTGGGAGTGTGTTATAATACATTTTTAACAGTTTGGGGAGTCTGTTATAATACATTGTTAACAGTTTCGGGAAGTCTGTTATAATACATTTTAACAGTTGTGTCTTTTCGGATATGACGCATTGAAAAAGCTGCGCATGCGCAGAAGTGAAATGCGTCATATCCAAAAAGACATATACTACTATTATTTACCTCGTTCTTGAAAACGCTTTCAAATTTTAGCTCCTAAACATTAGATGGCATGATTCTTGCCGGATTTTGACAAAACGTGGTTTTATTATTCAGTACCGTGCTGAAGATTGAAATTTGGATTCTAGAGTTTTTACAAGCTTAATATTTGATAGTTTTCAAGAACAAGGGCAATAACTCATACTCAATATTATTCAGTGTCGCCCCAAAGAATTAAAAAGAAGTGTATGACTGAAGGATGAATATTTCATACTGGTGATTTTTACTGTACTGCCAAATGTTTTTATTCAAAATCAAAGCTGCTAATGGGCGTATATTACCTTGCCTGGCAAGCTATCTTTGGTAATTGGAAATGATCGGACAGCGCTGATAGACTTTATACCGAATACGGGTTTTGACAGTTGGGGTGTGGTTTGAATACGATGTTAAAAACCTGAATTGTTTGGCATTGCAGGTACCCGGTGAACATCTCCTATCCGCATCAGTAATGTCTGCTCCAGCAGCTTTAGCTATAGCAAAACTAACTTATCCAGAAGTAGAGAAAACACAGTCTACTGACGATGATTATAATAAAATGGTCCGAGGGTAAGTATTAGTTTGTTAACCATGCCAAGATTTAAAACACGTCCATTTCCACTTTGGTTATGTCAAGATCCAAATCGTAAAAGAATCACGACAGAGCAGCGCTCCATATTGAGCCACAATAGATGAGCAGACCAGCAGTCAGCGTATCACGAAAACGGGTTTTGACATGTCTTATTCACCCGTATTAATCCAAGCCCACTACATTTTGGTTGGTCGGAGTTGAAACGATGTTTAAATCAGATCGGTAGAACGGCAATGATGTCATGTAAACAAAACACAAAATAGCTTTGCCGCCGCTCGTTTGATGAGATAAGAACACATTCTTTCAAAATAACTATTCCAATGTGAGGTTTGATCTTCTCTACTTTCATTTCTTTACTGAAAATCTTATTAAATTCTGTACCGTCCATATTAATCAAAACATTTAATGACGTTACGATCGCAAACAAGGCGTCATAACGAGTGATTTGTTTTGATTGTCGGAGATTTTACTAGCAAGACAACAGGGCTAATTTTGATTGGACAATATTTAGCTATGACTACGTAATTTATTACACGGTCTCGAGGAAGTTTGGCAAATGGGGCATGGTTTGGACAGTTGATCATTTGTAGGCCATTTTGTTGCCAAATTCAATTTCATCCGAACCAGTTTCAAAACATAAAATTTCCATAACCTTTATATATGCATGTGTGTGCTATATTTCAGAAAAGAAAGAAATGTGATAGAAGCTGCCTCGTCTGGTGCTTCACTATCTATTGGCCTGATTGCTAACATAGTAGTCAATCTAATAGCCTTTCTGGCATTGTTAGAGTTCGTTAATGCTTGTTTATTATGGGCTGGACATCGTGTTGGTGTGGAAGGTCTTACATTTGAGGTAAGAGTAATAAGAGATAAGGTTCTACTTTAAAATGCCGAAATGTAACCGAAGAACTATAATCATCTGTATGTCGATGGATGCTGTATATTATAATATTATACCTCGAAACTTACATCTTTGCTCAATCTTTCATATTCCATTTCAGTTTATTTGTTCGTATTTGCTATTTTGGGTGTCTCTGTTTATGGGAGTGGAAATAGCAGATTGCAGACAAGTTGCCAAATTAGTGGGTGTGAAAACGTTCACAAATGAGTTTATTGCCTATGAAAGACTATCAGAGCTTTTGGGTAATAAAGCTACGTTTAATAACTACACATCTTTTTACCCTAACCAAACTGATCTGTGGGAATGGCAAGGTGATGATATGTATTTAACTCATTGGAATCAAACATTACCCGGGGGAATTATATCGGTGAGTTTAATTCTGCCATGTGAACGCATGTATAACTTGAATTTCAAAGGGTAATTTATGGTATGAATGTTTTTTACTATAGTGACATTAAAATGTTTTCTCCTAGACTTAATGATGCAATAAGAACCGTTTGGTGCGTACTTTAATGCATATACAATGCCCAAAAGGTCTCCTTCACCTTTGAATTTGGCTATGCTAACAGTTTCGTCCAAGGCTATATTAACTCAAAAAGTGAGATCTCTACCTTTGGCTTCCTGTGGGTGAAAAATGACAAAGATATAATGATAATTATTACATTATAACATTATAGTAATGCTTTATGCTTTCAGGAGAGATCTGAAGTGATAGCAACATACGCTTTATGTGGCTTCTCTAATATTGGCTCGATGGGTATATTACTGGGAGGGTTATCTGCTCTTGCCCCTGAGAGAAGAAGTGATTTATCAAGCATTGTATTTAGAGCGATGGTGGCGGGAAATGTGGCTTGTTTCTTTACAGCCTGTATTGCCGGTAAGTTTAAATTGAATTGCTTCAATTTTCCACTGTAAGAAACAATAACTATTTTGAACTTTTTGATTAATAATTTAAATAAATGTTGAAAATATATCACAGCAGTTAGTTAAGAATCAGCAAACGCGAGTCCAAAAAACACACCTCAAATTTGGGATCGTGGTTCTAGTGGCTGACTTGTGCCATACATTGGATATCATTTCCAGCTAATAAATTGTCAGACATGTCAAATATTTCACAAGATAATGAAGCACGATAAGACTATTTCACTGATAGTGAAAAGCTTCTACATTTGGCAATCATCCCCAGTTTCCGTAAAGCGGTTGCAGAGCGCTAGCAGGACTTCCACGATAGGTGTTTGCTGCAAAGTGCAAGCGGAACGTTTACATTAGATCGTCTGCAATTTCTACTGGTTAATTTTTCGTGCAAAAGAAAATACAAGGGACACGTGGAACCAGTCGCATAAGTTGACTTAACTTAATGTGATTTGACTCGATGAAATTTTAAGGATGGTATTTTGGTCTGCAAAAGTCATATTTCTCTTTCCAGGTTTGTTTTTTACTGGTCAGACTGGAGCCTATGCTTAAACATTGTGCCTGTGTGTTTGTTTTACATACATTTCCACACAACAACAGACTACAATAATGGCCTAGAACGGGTTAGAATTCATATCTTAACTAAAAGGAAAACAATGAATTCTATTTACCATTCCTTAAATACTTACTTTTTAAACTTTTAACATTGTTTAGATCTCAGCTTAAATTGTTTTGCGTCAACTAAGACTCTTATAGATACGGAGGTAAAGGGTCGACACAGAATGGCAAACACATGCAAAGTGTTGGAGTTATAGTGTCCATTCTGTAGAAAGACATGTTACATGTTCAACCATTGCATTTGTTATTCAAGGAGTGTTAAAGGAGCATTCCGCTTTTTGTAAAAAGTTTTCAAGTTCAAAATCGTGGTAAATTACACCTGATGTACACTACATGGTAGAAATATACTCGAACACAGCTACCATGTGATCTAAAAGTCACAAAGGCTTGATCAAATATTAGCTCTGCTAACTTCCTTTTTTAGTAATTTAGGTATAAATATATGAACATAATTGTACGGTTAACAATTACTTTAATAGATAACTTGCGACTTTAATCTTTTTCAACAATGATGATCATCGTCGAAACGTCGCAAGTTATTTATTAAAGTAATTGTTATCCATAAAATTGTGTTCATATATTAGCTCTGCTACAATACATTTATTCTCTAATGGTGATGATCCCATTGAACTCACGCCATTTCCACATAATTGACAAGGCTGATCTGCAACGAATACAAATACATAGGTTGTGATATATAAAAGATACATCAACTAATATTAACATTTTTATACAATTTTAAAATCATTCCTTATATTCTTTTTACATTTCTGTTTATATTTTTTGATATACACCTCTGTCAGCTTATTATGTTGTTTATATTTTATTTTCAAATTTTATTATTGATTTGCAAAATGAAAATATTATATGCATCATTGTAGTTTATATCATTTTTTACTGACTGGTTCTCAGAAATACTATGCCGAGGTACGTTCATCAGCCCAATCAAGTGCATGTTTTTGAAGTAAATGACAAATGCAACAATCAATCCAACAGACTGCTGTGGTGGCCTCAAATGTCATATGTATAATAGCAAGTAACTTTATAGAAATGCAACAGCCAATACGAACTATTCTACTATGGTACTACTAGCAGAAGACCACAAAAGTGCAATTCAATGGCCATATCGTGTATAACAGGTATTAACGGTTGAAAGGCCAGTCGAAATGGCATAGGCCTATAGAAAACAGACAATTGATATATAAGCAATGAGAAAGGTCTCAAAGGCGTCTTTGTTAGGTCTAATAATGTTGTTAAACGATTGCATGGCCATCATCCGAGGCATATATATTGTAGCCACCTCTCGACAAATTAGAATAATTTGTCATTCAGGAAAAAACTTGGGTCTATCTTCATAAAACTGACGTACAGGGGTAAGGTAACATTACATGAACAAAATCATTGGCCAATAAACTAAACTATATTAAGTTATCTCCCTTCCATACAATACATATCCAGACTACAGTTAAATGCATCCCAAATATTACTCATAATGGCTAGACCTTAAATATTGCATATTTATTATCTAAAAAATATTGGAAGTCAATTTTATTTTCTTTTGTTTTTTTGTTTTATTTGCCTTTTTCTTTTGTTTTATTTCAATAATTTTTTTTATTTTTTTTTTATTTTAATCGATTTAAAATTTTTTGAAAATCAAATTGACTTCCAATATTTTTTAGATAATAAATATGCAATATTTAAGAATGGCAGCCCTGGGCCACCATAGACCTATTCTATATAACCCTCATGAGAAAGAAATGAGTTCCACTGATTTTAAAACATTCAAGGAGTAAACATTTGCATATATAGTAAATGTAAAGAATAAATGACTGCGATCTTACCCCGGCAATACAAATTGATAAAAAACTGTAAAATGATAATAAAAAGTCATACCTGAACATAAGCATAGTATGTAGGCTATGCAGATGCAATGACCTATTAAAAATCCTATCCTTTTTTTAAAAAACATTTAACTTTTTCAATACATACTAGTATCAAATTGCAATATCCAATACAATATATGAATCCAATGGATGGTTTACTAAACTACTCATTAAGATAAATTCTTAAAGTGAGTTATTACTAAACAGTACATTTCTAAGAAGTGATAAGGAATACCATAAAAGCGTATGTTATAAGAACAATTAGATTCTGTAAGATTATCATAAGGAATCCAAGAAATATGACTAGAATTAAAATTTAACCACTTAAGTTATAACATCATATCTTATTAATATACTATTCTTTCTTAACATGTTCTCAATGTCATAAACATTGTCTATGTCTTTAGTCTTAAACACAACAGTTTTAGTAGGCTTGGGCTTAATTTTGTCTTCATTATTGTCTTGAGTTTTGTCAATAGCATTAGAATCAAAGTTATCTTGTCAATAAGGTCTGTCACATTATCTGAAACTGCAATTTCATCATCTTCTAGAATAACAGATAGTTTTTTATTACCGGTATCTGGTTTAAAATTCACATTAGGTCGATCGAGTTCTTTCTTAAGTTGATTAATATGCACAATATTCACACAGAATCAGATTTTCTGCCTAATTTATCATGATGTACAATATTGTCTATGTCAAGGGCTTGCTAATTTTTTATTTTGACCTGATTTTAAGACAGGTTTGTAAAGAAATACAGTGTACTTAAACAATCTAATGATGAAGAGAGTTTTAAGACAGAACTGAAAAGGGAATTACAATCATTATATGTAATTATGTTACTATTAGTCCTATATTTTCTCTTCATCTTTGATAACCAAAGGGAAATATTACCTAAATTAATTCAATTTATTTTATGTGTTAGTCACATTATTATCGTAACCATACATTTTCACATTCATTTATTTTCTTTCTTATTTTTTGTTTATCATTTTGTAAATATGTTATTGTAGTTGTATGTAGAAAGATCCCAGGGAAGATTGCCTTGTACAACTGGGTGTCTAATAAAGTTTTTATTATTATTATTATTATTATTATTATCTCCAACTGAAAATAAAGGAGTAAAATCTTTTTGTAGAAATCTTTCATACATTTTTTTCTTTCTTTGTTCAAGATTTTTTGCGCAAATCTGTCTTGCAAGTTCTAGTTGATCTAGTAATATCTAAGAATGTTTTAGGATGTCTTCCATGGACCAAAAGGAATGCTGTGCTATCTCAGTTTGGTGTATTATTATAAGCAAATTGAATATAAGGTATCCCACTGATCGCAAGTATCATCTAAATATTTGGCTAAAGTGTTTAATATAGTACTCATTGTTTTCTCACTTTGACCTTTACAACTAGGATGGTAACTTGTTGTTTGAGTTTTCTGACTATTGAGAATCTTACAGGTTTCTTTCACATTATTACTAAGTTATTGGTTCCATGATCTGAACGTAGATATCCTGGAATACCATGGTGACAAACAACATTAGAATAGATTCTGTAGCAACTGTTGAAGCTTTACAGTTGACGTACTACTGGAGGCAACCTGCAGATACATGGCCTACCCATGGTCTCTCCTCTATCACCACTCCATACTGAAGCCTTCATGTCAAGATTTGAGAACTTTGCCTTATCCACCACACAAATTAAACCCCTATGTTGGTACCGGAAAGTTAACGTCTTTGCTATGACAGAAAATGATGATGAAGATCAACTCCTTGACCACCTTAACCAACAGCATAACCGCATCAAATTTACCATAAAAAAAGAAGCAGACCAAGTATTACCATTCCTAGACATCAACATTACCAGAACCCCAACTAGCCTCAGCACGACTTTCAACCAATACCCAGAAGAGGTCACAGACAACATCATTTCAAAAACACTGAACTCAAATACCAATACTCCAAAGACCATCAACAACACAGTCCCCAAAAACAAGGATTGGCATACCCTTCATTGGACACCAGAGCTACCAGATAAAGCGGATACTACAGAAGAATCTTAATACTCAAGTCTACTTCTAAACAGGCACCCCAGTAAAAACTTTACTCCAGGCCAATGGTAAAATATCCTCCCGCCCAGCAGACCCTAGCAGAGTTATATACAAAGTTAACTGCAACTGTGGAGCTACGTACATTAGACACTCATCAAATCCTGTTAGCGTCAGAACTGCTCAGTACAAAACCAAAACACCCAAGACATAGGCAGTGCCATTGCAGAGTACTAAGTAAACCACCCCAACCACACTATATAATGGGACCAAACAAATATTCTTGCTATGAGTATCCCCCACAAGCACACCAGAGAGATAAGGGAAGCCATTGAAATCTTTAAATTAAACCCAGAACTGAACAGAGACCAAAGAATCTACCTCCCTGCTATTTGGAAAGATAGATGCTTGTATTAACCTAGTTAACTCCACTTCATTCGTTTGTTCATTTTGCTATTCCTATAATTTACAATATTCTCTCTCATAATCAACCAAGATAATTCCCCACTTCAGTTGCGTATCGTCGCTCTATTGTTTACTGCCACACCTAATAATCTTTAATTAATTGTTGCTATTGTTATTTTTTGTGTATAAATATACCTTCTTGTGCCATATTTCCTCACTTCACCTGAAGATGACAATGTAGATTGTTGAAACGTAGTGTGTAAAAAACTAAGGAGTAGTATACCATAAAATTGTGTCCTGTTATTTAATGTGATCTCTACCCCTAAATGTCAATAAAGGATTAAGAACTAAAGTTGTACATATTTTGAAAAATGGTCTATGAACACCAACACATACTGATTATTGGTAGTTTGACATTTTGAATGTGGTTCTCTAAAATATGTTGAAATGGATGACTAACAACTGGTATTGGGTGTATCATAGCTCTGGGATTTTTAGCATGAGGTTTACGTTGACAACATCTTTCACGGATTTGTACATATTGAACTATATCCTTTTACATACATGGCCAATAAAATAATTTTCCTGTTTTCTAAATAGCACGATTAATTGTCTTTCGAGAGCCCAGCTGTGCTGTGACTAGTGTAATACGGAGTAACTGAGTGAGTGAGTGACAGAGACAGAGACAGAGACAGAGAGACGTATTGAGATGATACTTAAATAAATCCCACCCTCGATCTCAGATAGTGTAAGTTTGAATTTGAAACAGATGGTTATCTTCACTCACTTGATGTTTACTCCATGAATAATATTTGAACACTTGCGTACAATGACACTGAGCATAATTATCACAAGAATGTAACTCCCCTACCTGCCAAAATTTGAAGGATCATATGTGATAAATTCAATGGGGTTTTACTATATAATCACTCATTGGTATTAATTCATTGGTTCCGGTTCGAAAGAATATAATAATACCATTGAATTAGTCCTAGTTTTAGAATCTCTTATCTCTAGTTATATATAATAAACTTTGTAGGTTATCTTTTACTTACCCTCGTGACAATTGCACAACAACGACGATACGTTACTTAATATTATATATAGTTTAATATAGTAATAATCATAATGAGTTATATCGAATGACAGGTTATTTCAATTACAGTGCAGAAATATACAGGCTAAAGAGATTAAAATAATACCTAGATAAGTACTCCATCCGATTTCACAAAAATATAATAATTACAGTCTACAACATAAATATAAACCTAATAGGAAATATTGCTTACTTTGCTGTAGTGTCGACGTTCCGAAAACCTCATCCGATTCAACAAAGCTGAGTTGAACCGATAGCAAAATCCCCGAGTCCAAGTTGGATCGGATGAGGACCACGGAAAACACATTCACCCCCATAGCGCTGTATCCAGCGATTGTGAGGGCGCTAATGAACGTGTCACCTCAGACCGGGAACAGTTTTTACACCGTTCACTGTGTATTCCAGAGTTTGAAAACCCCAGAAAGAAACGAAGTAAGCGTATATCCAGAAGGAGGTTCTATCGGAATACGCGACAACACCCATTTCCAGTCGACCATCGTTCCAGAAGATCCCTAAAACAGACAGCGACAGTCAATAGGCGGAGTTATTTCTCAATGTCCCAAGTTATTTCACCACGGACTGGCTTTATATAGTAAGGAAAACGTCATGTTGCTATAAATAAAGTTGCTAACGAGAGAGTTTTGCTTATCATACTCTCGATTTTCAAGTCCTCAATTTGAATGTAATTAACTTAATCAGTCTGGATAATTTAGAATGCTTACTGTACGAAGTATTTGATTATGGAGGGGATTCGTTGCCATAACTACAAAAGCAAGTCTAGGAGATTAGAATCTTAAACATATTTCTACGGATTACATGTGAAACATTTCGCCTCAGTTTTTATTGAACTTGATTGGGATTGAAGCAGTGGCGACGCCAGTCTCTCAAGACTGGGGTTACAAATATGGAGCAAACTGACCCAATAGGGGAGGGGATGGGGGTCACTGTGACCAAAATACCTTGTGCCCGTATTACTGTGACCAAAATACCATGTTCCCGTAATACTGTGACCAAAATACCTTGTGCCCGTATTACTGTGACCATATTTCCCTTGACCGACTTACCTACAAACAGAATTTCATGTTATATAATCAAAAAAAAAAACTTGGCCCAGGTAGACTAGCAACCTAACGACCAATAAATGGAAGTTGAACATGTGTATGTGATGGCAACTGCGATTTCCCCTACTTGTTACCACAATTATACCAGTCGTTGATAACCAGAAACTACCATTGGCAGGGTCGGCCTGAGTCTTACCAATTTTGAAAGTGTGAAAATGTTATATGTCTAGAATCCGACGCAAGGGTGCTAAATTTGTTCCATTATACACACTAATTCTCAAAGGTAATTTGCTAAATTTGAATAAAAGCTTCATGAATAAAATAAAAGCCACACGTGGCTAGATTCTCTGTTATAATACAAATAACCGTTCAACGCGTTGTTTTGCAATAAATTTGTTCAGTTTGTATAAAATTCTCTCTCACCGTAAAATCCGGAAAAATCTGTAAAATTCTCAGAGAAATTTTGTTAAGCGTCTTATCAGCAACGGTAAATATTTGCTTGTGACGTCATTCAGTTGTATTATGTATTTTAATTGTTAACGTCATAATAAAGACAAAATGAAGAATTTTTTATACCACCTCCGCCACTGCAAGTGTCGCAATGTCTGCTCAATCAATGCTCCTCTCTAACTTTGTACGTTGATAGCCATGAAGACTGTGACGTATCCAGGATCAGACGGAGGAAGTTTGGGAGGTATATTTATCCGTATTCAAAAAACACATTGTGAAAAATACGATAATGTTTATTTCAGCATAATCTTGGACAACGTTATCACATAAAAAGTCGAAAAAACAGATTAAAGGGTAAAAAGACTATGGTGGCTTTTGTTCCTTTCAGGAGAAAAACTGAGATAGTGTCCTCGGGACTAACAAAAAGGTGAAAGTGAATACAAATTTGTATGAAGGTTCTTATAAATAACTGGTAGAATTGGAAATATTTAAGTTAAGATTTTTTAGAAGATATAGTTTCCCTGAAAGTTTCGAATTATTTGATTTTTATGTCACTTAATAAGATTATAGAAGAATTTATGAGCTTGCTCATTGTACTATTTAGTTCATTTATATATAAGAAACGATGGGAAAAAGTATATTTTATAAAAGTAAAAGAAATATGGCCCTGTAACGATCTCCTTGTTAGCCTGGAAATGCTGACAGACCATTTTTCCATCAGATAAACAGAGTAGTTGTTTTGGTGAGAAAAACTAACTCTGTGACATGACAAAGACCTATCAGAGAAAGATAGAAGAGATAGAATCAGATAAGTCTAAATTTGAATTATCAGTAGGGCATAATGTTATTCTGGAGGAATGTGCAAACAAGATGAATCATAAAAGCAGGTTACTTTGGGATATTCGATCAAATTTAAGGGAGGCAAAAGAAAGAAAACTCCGTGGTTTATTACGGCATGACAAGGTAAGTAGGGATATAACACAAGATGTTTCTTTCAGGTGTAAGCGATCTTGCAGCTTCTTCAGATTTGGAAAGAGTAGAGTTGAAAGTAATTTAATGGATAACAAGGGAGGCTGTGACATTGAAGGTTTTAAAGAGATTGATATAAAAGGAGATGGGAATTGCTTCTTTAGATGTATTAGTATGTTTCTGTATGGACATGAAGAGAATCACAGAGGAATTAGAGAGAGGATTGTACGTAGAATGAATACCAATCCTGAGGTTTACCAAGCGCTAATCGATGGGGATTTCAACCAGCATATACAAGACCAACTTAGTACAAGTGGGGATTCCACGACATGGGCAACTGAGGCTTCCAGTGAGTTCAGGTGTAAACTATTTATTCTGAGTTCAGGAGAAAGGGGACAGACGTGGGATTGTTTCGATATTAACTACGACAAGGAAGGATGTAAACCAAACGCAGGCTGGATAGCTATATCGCACAGGAATAATCACTTTAACCTTTTGATCCCTGACAAGAAACACTGTACGTGCGAATTACATGAACCCGATACTGATTGGATAAAAGAAAACGTTACAAACTGGTTTGATATGACAACTAAGAAGAGCTCTAAGTACCAGGGTGAACCGATATACCGACAGGAAGTGAATAGATGTAATAATGTCAAGACTGAGATAAACGGATCGGCGGGGATGGGGAAAGGGGAAGTAACGCAGAAAGAAGAAAATAACCTGATCGTAAATCTTTCCGATAAAATTCTGACGAAACCCCAACAGCAGTTATTATCGAAAGGTTTTAGTTTTGTGCCAACAAGGGAGAAGGTGGATGTCACGAAGTTGCTCAGCGACCTGGGAGAGTGGGAAAGACGGATGAGACTAAGAGAATATTTCTTTAAGGGTGATGAAGAGGGCGACGCTAAATATGTAGAACGGGAACCGTGGAAAAAGAAGAAGAGTGAATTTACACTGCAAGTGGGAAGAGATAGGTGGCTAGATATGTACATAGAATTGGCGAAGAATGATGTAGTAGAAGGGATTAACAAACGAAAGGAAGCAAACATCACTGAAGAAGAACAAACGGCTATGAAGGAGATAAGACCAAAGAATCGATGAAGGAAGTAAAGAACATAGCGAACAGATTACATAAAAACGGCCACATAGACAGGGATCTAAAACAGTACCTTATACCAAAATAGCCCACTAGCGGTCAACTTAAAGGCAACCCCAAGATCCACAAGAAGAACAACCCCTTTCGGCACATCGTCAACGGACAGGGAACGGCAACGGAAAAATTAGCGGAAATAGCAGAGAAAGAATTAGAAGAGTTTGTGATTGGGACAGACACGACACGACAGACTTCTTAAACAAACTGAAGACCATACGACAACCAATACCCAAGGATGCCATTTTCTTTTGCTTTGATGTCGTCAAACTGTATCCGTCCGTATCTAAGATAGAAGGGCTAGCAGCTTGTGAGGAAGGTTTAAATATGCGCAATAACCCTGATATACCGACTAGTTATGTGATGGAGATGATAAGAACGGTCCTAGAGAACAACAACTTTTCTTTCAACGGTAGGCATTACCTTCAAAGGGATGGAGTGGCAATAGGATCCAAACTAGGCAAGAATTATGCATGCACATATTATATGAGAAAGTGGGATGAACAACTGAAGGCCAAGGATAGAAGGAAGCATATACACTTCTATAAAAGATTTATAGATGATGGGTTTGGAATCTGGACAGGAACAGTAGAAGAATTCCAAGCAGAAGTCAACACCATACATGAGAAGATAAAAGTAGAGTTACGGTGGAGTTATGACAGTATTGAATTTTTGGATGTGATGGTTATCAGAAAGGAAGATAGGTTAGAAGATAGGATTGTACGTAAAACCAACAGATAAGCATATGTATGTACAGGCCAAATCATGCCACCCACAGAGTGTGAAGAAGGCCATACCCTATGGATTAGCAATAAGACAGAGAAGAATTTGCGAAAACGAAGAAGAATACCAAAAGCATAGAAAAGACCTGAAACAGCAACCGAGAAACAGAGGGTACAGCTCCAAGTTCATCGAAAGGCAGTTGTCGAGAGTGGATGGTATGGATAGGAAAGAGCTTCTCAGGAAGAGAAAGAATAACGAGAAGGATAACTCAAGGACACCATTAGTAACAACGTATACGAAAGACCTACCAAACCTGCACAACATAGTAAGGAAGAATATGAAGGTCCTTCACCAATTGGAAAGGATGCAAACAATTTTTAGAGAACCACCGATAATTGCATATAGAAGAGACAGGAATCTGGGAGATATATTAGTGCATGGTAAATTAAACAAAGTTTTAGCCCGGGATGATAAGAGCTTATGTGATTCAGAGAAGTGTGAAGTGTGTAATAAGATACATGCAGAAGGCAAGATACATCTACAGATGGAAAGAGAACTTTCAAACTTGACCCCAATACTCATGGGTGCAAGACGAGAAATGTGGTGTATACGCTAAGCTGCGATATATGCAGAAAACCCGTATATGTAGGAGAAACGAGAAGAACCTTGGGAGAACGAATAAAAGAACACATGGCAGACATATGATTGGAAAGGAAGACGGCAGTGGCAGAGCATTTCAACGGTGAGGGACATAAGAAAAAGGACGCTATGAGAGTCAACATACTGGAAAGGATATGCGATGAAGCGCGGAACGTGAGAATCATCAAGGAACGTGATTGGATGAAGAGGTTACGAACGGAGGATCCAAATGGGCTGAATAAGAAGTGTTCGGTTGGTTTTCAGTGGAGGGACTATTAACGGCATGACGAAAGATGAAATGACGTCGTAAATGAACTTTTTGACGTGACAACCATCAAACAGTTTGAGTATTCTAAACTTTAAATAGTTAGTAAAATAACGGAATAAGATGTGATCGAGATCTATTTTGGGTGTTTCTGAAGAAGGCAGTAAGCCGAAACGTCAAATAACAGGACAATAATATAGTTTTATATACTTATACTTCAACGCACTGTGCATTATCTTTTGGCTATATTAGTATGCTCTGAAGTTTTGAATTTCTGTTAATCATGATTGAAAAAAAATATTCATTTAAGATTTAATTTTCATGAGAGTGTCTGCGCCTCTGATTTCTGCTCTAGTTGGCTCTCCTACAATTTTCAGAATGTGCAAAGTGGATAACTTATGTTTATGAAACTATCAGGTGGTTCTTTGGTTTTTGGGAGTAAAGATTCAATGGTGCAATTATGTTTTTGGTTGACCTAATAACGTTTTGGACCAATAAAATTTATTTGCTTCTCCAATCTAATTAAAATTAGATACATATCGTTCCGATTTGTGTCTGTCTTCATTGAAGGCCCCAATATAACGAGGTTTATAGTATACCAAGATCACGTCTCAAGTTATTTATAGCAGACAATCACGCGCCACTGCCAATCAGAATCACTTTTACAAGATAGTATCGGTAGTCTCATAATCTCATTGGTCCGCACAGTTCACGGTCGATATTTGTAAGTCGACAGTAAGTGACCTTGGTATAAATCTTGTTAGATTACAATGGAGACCGACCAAAAATAATAATATTCTAATTTTAATTAGATTGCAGCTTCTCAGGCCTCGAGCTTTCAGTGGTTCATGAAAATCCCAACATTAGACAGTTGATGACCTGCTCGAGTCTTTCACAAATTTGGTTGGCTTTAGAATGCCCAAGTGAGTTATAATAGCTGTGTGGATTATCTATCCTTATTGGCGTTTGGAAATATTTTGACTGGGGTATTGCCGACAACTTTCAAAATAATCTGGTTTGGAGGCTGATGTTTTGGTCTATTTGTAAATGTTTTTGACTTTGTGAATAGTTTTGGCATCGAATCCCTTCGATAACCAATAGATATAGACTTTTTTCATCTCCAAAGTTGAATGTTTTTTCTGCCACTTCATTGACCTCTTCAAGTACTTCAAGCAAATTAAATAGGGCGTGCACCTGCAATTCATTTGGTATATTTATTACAGACCCTGCTAGTGACCAAGGTTTCCCCCGATGTCATTCATCAACACATTAGCTTTAAGATCTTAAGCAAGCACATACTGAGCGACTGTATGCTCCACAAAAATAAATCACTTCTGCGAGTGCCCAGTGTCCCGAGACGGGGGGTAGAAATATGGGGTATACTGACTCATGACGGGACAACTGTCGAGGCTGAATTCAAAATTCAAAATGCAGCAACTATGTGGAGGTGTGATAGTCGTTAGCCTCTGAGAAGGTTCTCCTAAGAAAAGCCCCCCCCCCCCTTCCGGAGCCGCCACTGCAAGTGTCGCAATGTCTGCTCAATCAATGCTCCTCTCTAACTTTGTACGTCAACTCTTTTGGAGTGTATTGGCGTATTGAGATGATAATATGAAACACTACTTACATTAATCCCACCCTCGATCTCAGATAGTGTAAGTTTGAATTTGAAACAGATGGTTATCTTCACTCACTTGATGTTTACTCCATGAATAATATTTGAACACTTGCGTACAATGACACTGAGCATAATTATCACAAGAATGTAACTCCCCTACCTGCCAAAATTTGAAGGATCATAGGTGATAAATTCAATGTGGTTTTACTATATAATCACTCATTGGTATTAATTCATTGGTTCCGGTTCGAAAGAATATAATAATACCATTGAATTAGTCCTAGTTTTAGAATTGTATCTCTTATCTCTAGTTATATATAATAAACTTTGTAGGTTATCTTTTACTTACCCTCGTGACAATTGCACAACAACGACGATACGTTACTTAATATTATACATAGTTTAATGAATACATTGGTCAAGGTGCCAAATTTATCATGACTGCCTTCGGCAGCTCATTCAATTTGGCACCTTGCCCGATTATTCATATCACCGTAACTGCAGTGGGTCCATCGTTCATTGCTTAAATATAGTAATAATTATAATGAGTTATATCGAATGACAGGTTATTTCGATTTCAGTGCAGAAATTTACAGACTAAAGAGATTAAAAGAATACCTAGATAAATACCCCATCTTTATTGTATATTCCACATAAGCCTAAAAGTTTTTAATGCCAATGTACCAGTACCAATTTATTGGATCCGATTTAAAAAAAAAATATAACAACTACAATATACTTAGAAATACTGCCTACCTGCTGTAATGTCGTCGTTCTAAAAACCTCATCCCATTCAACAAAGCTGAGTTGATTGCAAAATGTCCGAGTCCAAGTTGGATCGGATGAGGTCCTCGGAAAACACATTCACCCTTATAGCGCTGTATCCAGCGATTGCAAGGGCACTAATGAACGTGTCACCTCAGACCGGGAACAGTTTTTACACCATTCACTGTGTATTCCAGAGTTTGAACACCCCAGAAAGAAACGAAGTAAGCGTATATCCAGAAGGAGGTTCTATCGGAATACGCGACAACACCCATTTCCAGTCGACCATCGTTCCAGAAGATCCCTAAAACAGACAGCGATCGTCAAAAGGCGGAGTTATTTCTCAATGTCCCAAGTTATTTCACCACGGACTGGCTTTATATAGTAAGGAAAACGTCATGTTGCTATAAATAAAGTTGCTAACGAGAGAGTTTTGCTTATCATACTCTCGATTTTCAAGTCCTCAATTTGAAATGTAATTAACTTAATCAGTCTGGATAATTTAGAATGCTTACTGTACGAAGTATTTGATTATGGAGGGGATTCGTTGCCATAACTACAAAAGCCAGTCTAGGAGATAAGAATCTTAAACATATGTATACGGTGAAAAAATGTGGAATTTTGGACGCTGTAAGAGCAACACGAGTTATCACGAATTATAAAGTGGGTGTTCAAATGCAAGCGCTCCCCTGTACCACCACTGACGCAGCCACTGGAGTGAAGTGTTTACGAAACTAAATTTTAACTATCAATTTTACTTTTAAAAAATTTCCATCAAATACTGCACAACTTACACCCCCATCAAATAAGATAAACCAATATAGTTTATTAAAGCAACATTTGTCTAATAATTCCGATCTACGAAAGCCTGGCCAACCTTTTTATTTTTATGAATATATTGTACACAACTCGAAAATTCGGATTCCACAAATAAAAAATCGGAT